TGGTCTCCCCCCCCCCATTAAAACAAACACTGATTTATTGTTTCATATATTTTACATGTATAATATACAAATAACATTTTGTGATCAAGGAAAAGCTACATTATGTTACTGAAAACAAAGAATTGATTCTTGCAATGTGATGTCTTTGATGGTTAATTAACACAATGTGACTAATTGTCACTAACACAGATAAGGCCATGGTCATGGGATGTGGGTCGTTGAATACATTGCAGTCTATTCCTTTGAAGTTTTCTGAGTCACCCTGGCAACTGAGATGGTGAGTTAGTTGGTAGTAGTTCATGTGGGGTCCTGTAGGAGAAATCATAAACCACCAGACGGCAGCACCAACAGTACCAGCACCAACATAACCTGAAAACAAAACAAGTATCTTCTATTGAAAACGTTTTCTCAAATGGTGTACATTTATTGGAAAGTACCATTACTTCAGTAAAGCTTGTATTTTTTTAGACTTTAGTTGTTCATCCAAGTACGTAGTATTAGGAAACATTACGTACGGACATTTTTATATTATTAGTGGTTTTCTTTTTATATAATAATATCCCTAAATAACCTGAGCTTCGAAAACCTTCTTGGTTCATATCAGACTCAACCATCTTTCGTAAGTTTTAAGCCAGTTCAAGTTGTATTTTTTATTCCAGCTCCTGTACTTTTCCAAACTATTTTTTTTTTCCCAAGAGGTAAGTTTGTTTGGTTTGTTTTGAAGTTTGCCCAAAGCTACTTGGGGGCAATCTGCTCTAGCTGTCCCTATTTTAGCAGTGATAGACTAGAGGGAAGGCAGTTTGTTAACACCATCAATCTTGGGCTACTCTTTTACCAACGAATAATAAGATTGACCATCACATTTTAATGCCCCCCTCAGCTGAAATGGCAAGTATGTTTGATGATGGAGATTCAAGAGGTGAGATAAAGATTTAAGATATGACTTAAATACACTAAGGTATTGAAAACAAAAATTTACATAAAGAGCTTGCTAGTTAGTCAACAAACAAATATTTTAATATTATAGATTGCCTGGAGTTATTTTATTACTTAGATAATAGAAAAACAACCCAAACATCTGGATATCAATCAGAAAGATAAAACTTGTTGAATTTTCATTAGAACAGTTTAAGTGATTTTTTAAGAAGAAAAAAATATCAAAGGTGATAACATCTAAAAGTAAAGAAAAAAATTTCAAAACCAATTCATTTGTGCAAACTTTTGAAGTCAGATTTGTAGAAATGTATCCCAAGTTGCATGAGAAATCCAGACAAAGGCACTTAAACAACAGGTTTCTGACTCACAGATAAAACTGAGTTGCCATCAATCACAATAAAATGGTAATTTTCGTCATTCGCATAGAGTTATATATGTGCGAATGACGGATATTTCCGTCATTCGCAGCTAAGCCATAGAACTTCAATGACGAAAATATCCGTCATCCGCAGTTAATTGGTTAAGAAAGAAAAATTGTAAGGTGTTTTCTTTGGTAAAATAAGGCTTGTAGTTTTTACAGCTAACCACTCCCAGCTAAATATCAGTATGTAGGTATGCATAACATACAAAATCATGCAGACTTTATTAATGTTTTATAATTAACTAACAAATGTACCCATGCTTTGTGTCACACTTAATGTGTTGGCTTCACAAGGTTGTAGTGTGTGTGTGTGTGTCACATACACCATGCAGGTCTATTGAATACTGGCAATCGACAAAGGTGCCTGTGTTACACGTGTAACCAGCTTCATTTAGTGAAAATTGAAATGGCTGATAAACTCAGACCATTCATTTGATTGCTCAAGCATTTAAACTTCATCTATTTTGTTTGAAGAGGGGGGATATCAACCTAATTTCCTGTACCACATTTCATCAACATTGGTTCAGCCAGTTCCTTACAGGAATTTGTGACGTCAAGATACCAGACACATAGACAACTATATTTTAAATATATGGATGTTCAAATACTTGAATCATTGCACAATTTACGACCTAAAACCCACTACATTTATAAAATCTAAAAAAAATCTACATGAAACTCCTACATATTTTACAAAATAGACTAAAACAGTACTTCAGTCACAGTGTTACGAACCTCCGATTGCCATATAGCGGAAGAACAACCAGCCGGAAATTAGAGACTCGTCTGGTTTACGGGGTGGACGTTCCATGATGTCAAGATCTGGAGGGTTAAAGCCCAAGGCTGTGGCTGGAAGACCGTCAGTTACTAGATTCACCCACAAGAGTTGGACGGGAATCAAAGCTTCGGGAAGACCTAAAGCAGCTGTGAGGAAAATGCTGAAAAAAAAATTATAATTACTATTTCTAGAAAACTGCAATTTTTTAAAGTAAATCACTCATTAACGTATGTTAATGTGAAACATTCCTGCTTATCATTGTTGGTCATTCATAATGAGGCAAGCAACCATTAACATTCACTTAAACCAAAACCTTAGAAGACTTGAAAAAAAACAAACTTGATTTTGTTTGTTTGTTTTGAATTTCGTGAAAAGCTACATGAGGGCTATCTGTGCTAGCCATCCCTAATTTATCAGTGTAAGACTAGAGGGAAGGCAGCTAGTCATCACCACCCATTGCAAACTCTTGGGCTATTCTTTTACCAACGAATAGTGGGACTGACCATCACATTATAATGCCCCCACGGCTGAAAGGGAAAGCATGTTCGGTGGGATGGAGAATCGAACCCATGACCTGCAGATTGCGAGTCGAGTGCCCTAACCACCTGGCCATGCCGGGCGTAAAAAAAACTTGATACTAAATAAAATGTACTTTATATATATATATCCAAAGAAAGACCTTCAGAAAAATAATTTATTTTCCACACTAATATTCTTCTGCTCATATATATACACACAGATAAAAACAATACCAAAAATATATGCACAAGTTGGTATTATCTGAGCCTTTATACAAGAAAACAAGTTTTTACCTTACAACTTCACCAATGTTTGAGGAAATCAAATAACGAATAAACTGCTTCATGTTGTTGTAAATCGCTCTGCCCTCTTCTACAGCAGCAACAATGGTAGAAAAGTTGTCATCAGCTAACACCATTTCTGCGGCAGACTTGGCGACGGCAGTTCCCGAGCCCATGGCAATACCGATTTCAGCTTTCTTCAGGGCAGGAGCATCGTTCACACCATCACCAGTCTGAAATGTGTCTCAGGAGTTATAACGTGTACTTATCAAACTTAGCTGGAATGGCTGAGCTGAAATAACTTTAATAACCCGAAATACGAAAAGCAAAGAGTATAGGGATGTATAAAACAAACAAACAACACGCACATCCATTTAAACACACAAGTTAGCTTTAGTCAAGTTAACTACTATAATACGATCTTTACAGAGTCACTGTTAACTTCAATACTGGTTAACCATGGTTCACTCTACTACTCCTACTCATTATGTACCCCCATTGTTTAAATTTGAAAGTAGTTTCTTTAATTAAAAAAAGTTCTATCGTCAGTACAATCCGAGCTAGTAGGCATTCCAACACATTTATTCAAGTAATTCCAGTACACGTAAATATATGCTTACTAAAACAATGATACTGATGCTACTGGATATCTAAAATATGATCAGGTGTGAGTACAAATTAGACAAATAAAATATGTGAGGTGCATTATTAGGATAAATATCTTCCACTGTCCATACCATAGCTGAGATCTCTCCATCTGCCTGAAGAAATTCCACAATCTTGCTCTTGTGAGCTGGTTCAACACGAGAGAAGAGACGGGCTCGAGCACATGCCATTCGCTGTTCACTCAGAGAAAGATCATCAAACTCCCGGCCAGAAAAGGAAAGACCAGAGGTGTCCTCATTTTCCCCAAACACCCCAATTCTGCGACAGATGGCTTCAGCTGTTGCCTGTCACACACATTGAGAAATATAGATGAAGAAGGTAGAGTTTTAACACCATATATCTCTCTAAAAGATCACCATGGTGTTCTATACAATCAAAAATTTTAATGTTACAAACTATTATTTATTTTATATTTCATACACAGTTACAATTTCACTGTATTGACATTCAGAATGTTTAAGTATTTTTACAAGGGGGGGGGCTAAAATAACACTTAATGAAAGTACAAAATTATAGTTTTAAGCATCTGATTAACACCATTACATATTTTTTTCTGTGTGCTTGTTCATACAAATTATTTTTTCCCGTTACCTATCTAGTTAATGAATCACTGTTATATTTACTATGCGTTTACAAAAACAAACAGTTCTTGTTAAAATTTTATATATTAACGATATAACAACATACATACAACACATTAAGAATATAACAACATACATACAACACGTTATATCACGTAAGATTTTGGTATTCTCATACCTTGTTGTCACCAGTAATGACAATGACACGAATACCTGATATAACAACATACATACAACACGTTATATCACGTAAGATTTTGGTATTCTCATACCTTGTTGTCACCAGTAATGACAATGACACGAATACCTGATATAACAAGATACATACAATACGTTATATCACGTAAAATTTTGGTATTCTCATACCTTGTTGTCACCAGTAATGACAATGACACGAATACCTGATATAACAACATACATACAACACGTTACATCACGTAAGATTTTGGTATTCTCATACCTTGTTGTCACCAGTAATGACAATGACACGAATACCTGATATAACAACATACATACAATACGTTATATCACGTAAGATTTTGGGATTCTCATACCTTGTTGTCACCAGTAATGACAATGACACGAATACCTGATATAACAACATACATACAGAACGTTATATCATGCAAGATTTTGGTATTCTCATACCTTGTTGTCACCAGTAATGACAATGACACGAATACCAGCAGCTCTACATTCCTGGATAGAGTCAAGCACCTCTTTCCTAGGAGGATCCAACATTCCTACAACTCCTACAAATGTCATGTTCGTCTGAAAAATTAAGCAACATTAATTAAATAAAGATACCGATAAAATAAATTTAATTAATTAGTCTTTTAGTAAACAGTTGCATCCTTACTCAGTAACGTAAGTGTGACATATAAAATATTTCAAATGCTCTAGGCAATGTCTATTCATAAACAAAGTTCAGCTGAGGTCGCACAAGTCCAACTTGGTATTTACCAACAATATTATAAACTATATTATGTTTGGGGGTTACAGGGGCTACCTTAATAGTTAAAGATTAAGATGAAATATCATAAAAACAAACAAATAAAAACAATACATAAAATGACTTGGATACATTTTCTTTTATAAATCCGTTTATTTTAAAATGTTAATTTACTGATAATATTGAAATATAAGGTACAATTATCTTTCCTCAAACCAAATACAATGTCTTCGAGCACTTATTAAGTTGATAACAAGCAGCCACTGTGAATTATTAACCACTTCTACTGAGCCAAAACTTTAAGTTAAATGTCACACAAGACATTCATAACTGATTCAATTAGAAAGTTTACATTAAGAGTCTAAAACAGTGTTTCTAAATAAGCCTAAAATCTAAGTATTATTCTCCTTAGAACTGGCTTTCTAATCAACTGATCACTACAACAAAGACAGTTTGTACTGACTTAAAATCAATGCTTTTATTTTTCATACATAAAGAAACTCAGTGTTTCAACTCATATAAGTAGAACTTTGTAGAACCTAAAAGATGTTTTTTCATACACAAAGAAACAGTGTTTCAACTCATATAAGTAGAATTTCATAGAACCTAAAATATGTTTTTTCATACACAAAGAAACAGTGTTTCAACTCATACAAGTAGAACTTTATAGAACCTAACAGATGTTTTTTCATACATAAATAAGCCCAGTGTTTCAACTCATACAAGTAGAACTTTATAGAACCTAACAGATGTTTTTTCATACATAAATAAGCCCAGTGTTTCAACTCATGCAAGTAGAACTTTATAGAACCTAACAGATGTTTTTTCATACATAAATAAGCCCAGTGTATTACCTCGTATATGTAGAACTTTGTGGAATCTACAAGATCCATATCCTCTGGAGCTTGTGGTTCATCAATGGTAGCCAAACCCAGGCAGCGAAGTGTGTCTCTCCCAGTTCCATAATGTCGAGTGGTATCCAAAATTTTCTTCTTAATGCTATTTGTCATAGGTATCTTTTTGTTTCCAATTCTAGCATAAGTGCACCTATCTAACATCCCTTCAGGTGCACCCTAGTAAATGGAAAAGTTGTACAGTTAAACCTAAACAAGTACTTTGAGGTTATTTATTAATTTTACTACTACAAAAATGCATGTAAATACATTAGAAGTTTTTGCTTACACTAAACTTATTTGGCCGTTCTTATAAATGTTCTTATTATCGAGAAAAAGTCTTCGACCAGACTAGAGACCAGCCAAACCTGAAAGTAACCTACTTATTAAATTATGTCCTAATTTTCTTGAAGTATCTTCAAGGGCAAAGAAAGTTCTGATAAGGCATTTAGCTGGTGGTTAAGGGCAGTTAAACGAAGAGAATGTAGAAAATAACATTAAGAAACTTTCACAAAATTATGATATCAAAGAAATGAAGCTAATCTGAAATAAATATTTTCACAAAGTCATTACATGTGTTTTTTAGTATGTTACCATTGAAACACTAAAACTCTTTTTAAGTTCTGTTTTATTATTAAAAATTATAGGACATGCAAATAAACTCTCTCCTCCTAAATCTGCTGTTCTTCATTTATGCATATTTATATGCATTTGATAACTTTGAGATTTTTTACAAATTACATATTAAAAGTAAATAGGACTATAATCAACCCACCTTACAGAAACCATTTTCTAATTAACCTTATAATCCATTTCATAAACACCTTAACTCTCCCTTACAGACCATTAGCTAATCTTAACTCTCTCTTATAGACCATTAATTAATC